GCACAAGCATCGCCGCGGTCGTAGAAAGGAGGCACAAGCATCGCTTTGGTTGCAGAATGAAAACTCAAAGATCGTCCAGTGTTTGGCACGTGGAACATAATTTTTTTCGCTCTCAAACGGGGCCGTGCTGAGGTATTTTTCACCTGACAGGAATTTTAAGGGCAACAGTGGCCTCATATCAGGCTCCGATTGTTTTTTCCCCTAAAATTCATAAAACTATCCATTTTTTTGAGGTTATTATAAAACGAATATTTTGCCTTTTTTACAAGATGCATTAATTGTCAGAACTTTTTGCAGAATGCGTCATTTGAAAACGGATTCAAACATTCCTTGTTGTGTCTGTCATACTTTCTCGTTTTCGGCGCCTGTCCATCCTTCTTATAAGGATAACAATGAGCATCTGGCTGATTATATGAGTCCATGTAGACCTTGCATCACTGTAGTTTAAAACGTTTATTCCCATTTATTTGTTTTCTGTGCTGGAAATGTTCTTTATTGGATGACCAGGTTAGAACCGATGAAAAAATATGAGTTAGAATATAGAGAAGGACGCCCAAACAACGCTCATCGGTCAAGCAGGATGCAGAATGATCGTAGAATAGACGCCACTGATCGCCGATGAAGGTACAGAGAACGCAGCAAGAATGCTCAATAGTCGCTCAAACTGTACGTCCCCTGTGCTTGGGTTGCACAGGGGACGTACAGTGGAGGCAAGCAGGTTGCTCGCAGTTTTGCAGGGAAAATTCGGCCGTTCAAAGGACGCACAAGGGACGCAGACGCCTTTACACTGAGACACGATTTAATTGCTTTGGCGACCGTTGAGCGTCCTGACCGCATTTTTGAACGCAGAAGGGACGCAGAAAGGACGCCGTCCAGTGTAAAGGGGCCCTTACTGATTTTAGCAGGAGCACGGTTGAAAAGGGCCGTCTGAGGCTGGAGGTAGGGGCAGGACCTATCCCTGGAACCCATCCCGCGACGAATGCTAACCAGCCATAACATTCTAAAATGCAATCGCGAAGCAAATAGTTTTAAAAATGCCTGTATGGAAAAGATGACGAACAGATGACGTGCTGTATCGTTTTATTCGCAGCTGTGCCAGATCGCTGCCTTGAATATTTGACACGGCGGTACCTTGAACGTCAAACTCTTGTGGACATGCATACTCGATGCACACTCGATCGAGAGAGGATGGCAGCGAGAGTGTTATCTGACATACAATAAGTATTTGCATTTCATCGAAACGCTAAAAGCGATATTATCAATTTTGCTATATTCCTACATTCATTCGCTTTTTGTCCTATCATAAAATGTAGTTAATGCAAATTAAGAAAAGTAATGCATTCTACAGGTCAGTTAGAGTACACAATTCATTACTGCATGGTTTATAATACCACCTTAGTTTTCAGTCTACCATGCTATGAAGAGGAAGCATGGCCATTTTAACATACTGAGAAAAGGAAACAAGTTTCTTAGCTTAACGAAAGCTGCAGTATTTTGGCCTTTTTTTCGTGAATTTTGGGTTGAACAAATAAATATTGTAGTGAAGACGCTGTATTTACTGCATCGACAAAGCTCTAATTTTGCTGCCTTTATCGTCGTTGCTTCTACTTTCTCCGAAATATTAGATACTTCATTTTTTTAAAATTCGCGACAAAATTTGAGTATTTTCGGTTTTAATAGCAGATGTCCGTAAGAATCAAATTTGGATGGCCACGGCACAAAAATTAGGAAAACTAGGTCCTTTAGGGTGTTCGATACCAGGCCCGTAGCCAGGGGGGGTTCGGGGGGTTCAAAAGAACCGCCCCTTTTGCTGGGAAAAGGTCCACTCTGAGTAAAATTTGATTTATGTACATGAAGTTTTTATGGGAAAAGGTCCATTTTTCAGAAAAAGAACCCCCCTTTTGAAATTTCTGGATACGGGCCTGGATACGATATAAAGACCAACATTTGGTAAAACGGCTTTCCCGCATTTCTTTTATGTGAACTGCTTGTTTCAATGTTAGTGCAATAACAATAAATACTTTTAATTGAGCTCAAAATTTGTGTTGCTTTATTCATCACTCTACTTGCTTCTGCACACAAGGTAATCCAGAGTCAAACGTCAAACTTGCTGTTTTGTAACTTAGTGTTGGAAAGTGAATCGGTCTCCGACGTAACTTCTTATTAGGGTTTTATCGTGGAAATTGACATTGACGACGATAACCGAACAGCACTCTGGTAAGAGTGTTTGTTTTATTTTTTCGTCTTTAAAATTTCGTTTTCTTAGGGGATATGAGCCTACAGTCACGCTGTTGCATTAAACGAAAGCGTTATTTCGCCTCTTCAATGCCCTTCAAGCCGTTCAAGAAAGTTTCCTAGCACTGGACTGCAGTGCTTATGGCCGTGTTTAAACTGGCGATAAGACAGCGTTGACAGATAGTATAGAAAGAGAACTGTTGAGATCTTTCACCCTTAAATGCAGTTGTCTAGCCATCAGCTGGAATTAGCAAGTCAACACCGAAGTGTTTTGATGCGACAGCATGATCGGAAAGCATCAAACTGTTTATTTCCGTATTATCTAACCAGTAAATGGAAAAAAATCCTCACGCACGGAAAACGTTTACCCAAATTAATCCATTTTCTTTTAAAAGAATTAGAACGTTGTTTCCAATTGAATTGAGTGCATGGTTATATCATAAAGAAAAATGGATTAATGTCATTGACACAAAACTGATACGGCACTTAGAAGAAATTGATCTATTTTTTAGTGCAATTTGACAGCACCTCTTCTTTGAGCTGAATGAACTTCGATTGATTTGCCTAGCGTTCATCAGTTTGATAATTTCAAAGAGATCGCGTTTTAGAAAAAATGCTTTTGATAGTTATAGGGGTATTACTATACACTATTAGTATTGCAAATCAGCATCTAGTTGGCTTGAATACACACAAAACACAGCTAGCATTAGGGTGTACATTGACCTTTACCTCAAATGATTGACAAACTTTTGTCCTTTTATTTCATAATTATAATCCTATACATTTTCAATGTGATTGTCAAACAATGGATATTTTAATTAGTTTGACAGGTGTTTTAGAGGATCTGAAGTGTCATTATTGTGTAAGTAGCTATTTAGGTGCAATTTTGATCTTGAAGTTCATCATATCACCTTTGGTCAGTTACAGGGACAGATCACAAGTTTTACTTTAATGTAGAAAGCTCAACATAGATCACCGTTCAGGTGCCGGAGTGTTTACATACCTTCTTTTTAAATCACTGGGTGTTTTTAGGATCCATATGGCATCTTTATCCGTTCGATTACAAAAATCGCTCGTTTACAGGTCTATTTTGTAAATTGCAACTCAGTATCTTGTGCTTGGCATAAATTTATTTTTAATCAGTAAAGTACATTTCCATAGATAATAATACCTAAGCTATACCAGCAATTATAATAAAAGTCTATTTGTAAATTTTTGATTTAATCTAAAATTCCCTCTGCAAGAACATTTATACTCGGTTTGTTATTGTGTGAGTTAGTAAAACATAGAGACGTGTCAATAAATCAATTTTAGATTATATGATGCACACATTTGGTTGTTAAAAATTATTTAACACCACAGTCCCCTGTATCATTTAAATGACATTTTATCACCACGTTTTTATGACCCCAATGTAAAGAGGCACGTTGCCTGTTGCTTTGCATATTTTGCGAATGTAATTGTATACGGTACATGTGTGTCTGCTTACATTCAGTGAGTAATAATTACATAAAGGAAAATCAATGGAAAGACCAACACGCCAGCGTACAAAGTAGAGGATTACTCTTTTTGCTAAGTGGGGCCCACACGGGAAAGGGCAAAATATTCTTAGCAGTATCAAAAACAAAATATAGTGCGTCATGTCATATATAGGACTGACAACCCAACTCGATAAACGTACGTTAAAGTTGGGAAAACAAGATAGATTTGTACGAAAAGGACAAAGACAATTTATTTTTAAGTAATTTAATTTTTGAAATCCTTTAACATGATGGGGTTCCGTTGCAAAGAAACTGTTTCGTGAAATTTACTAAAAAAACTTCTCATTTAAATGTCGGGCTCAGAAACGTGTCAATTATTCTACTGTTACCCTCAAGACTACATTAACAGTTGTAGCACACGTCTATAAATTGAACTTGGAAACGGCACGCATACACGTTTCAGTTTGATGTCAGCAAGGGCATCATTTCCGTTTTTACCGTACCAACCTTAAATGGTCAGTGTGAAAATCTAAATTGTTCTTATAAAACACCGTGCTTCGAAAGTCGTAAGGATATAACAGAATTACTGTGAAACTGAAAAAAAATGTATGCCACCTTGTAATTAAGTTAGATAAAATAGTTCAGTGAACAGGAATAACTGCTTTTACATTATTTTGGGAAAAGATATTTCCATCTAAACCCTTTGATAGAAATATGAATTCAACAGAAAACCTAAAAAACACCCTTACGAAACTGTCATCCATACTTAGCAGGAAATAATTGTTCACCAGGGAAATCTCATCCAAGATTGGATAGACCTGAATTATTCTACTGTGAAACCATTTCAAAGCAGTGCAGTATAAGAAAACTAATTTCCGGTTTCCATTTCAGGACGAAGGTTGACTTTTCCTACATTGTGAATCAGCACAAAAAGTGCTGCCTTGAAAGCAGAAGACCTTCAACGACGAGAAAGGTATTCGCTATGCCACTAATTTTGTTATTGATTTAAACAAGAGACAGTCGATTTAGTAAGACACCCTAGAGACCAAATTCTGTATCTGATTCTGTATCCGAGGAACACTTTCAATTTTGGAACTGTACATAGAGGTTTCTGAACAAATTTGAGCTTTTTAGTGCAGCGGAAAAAAATACACACCTCATCATAAAAAGACGATTTTAGATTTCAGTGGATGATTCACATTTAATCTTAACGGAGAACGCAAAACCTTCCCGGAGACACATTAACTAACTGCCGCATAATAATTCAAACACCTCATCGCCAGAATGAACGATACAGGCCAAGGAAACAATTCAGACTTTATAGACACAGTCTACAACAACGAGACCGGGCCGGAGCCGGCGGAAATGAATATGTATTTCTTCGCTACCGGTGGCGTTACAAATTTATTCCTGTGCATTATGGGACTTGTCCTCAGCGGTCTTTTAATACACGGTTTAGTCAAGGAATCAAAGCAGCTCAGCTCCACCTCATTTCTTCTCATCTGCCAAACAGTGGCCGAGTCCGCCTACGCAGTCACAAGTATTCCAGTCTTCTCGGTACGATGGTTCTACTCCGTCTTTCATGGGTTTGAAAGCGCAATCTATGTCTACTTACAGGTTTTCCCGTACATGTGGTACATACTACAGTCGGCTAATCTCATTGCCGAATACCTGATCGTCTATATAGCTGTAGACAGATTCATTATCATGTGCAAGTCCACATTAGCGCTGACATTTTGTAAGAAGAAACAATGGGGCCGTCGCGTGGCTGGGCTGGTTCTTTTTGCCTTAGCCATGAACTTGCCAAGGCTGTTTGCATTTGAGTCTGCCACCCTAGCGCCCTGCGCCAGTGGCTCGTGTTTTCGCATGCGGCTGAAGAAGTGGCCCATGTTTACTGAAGTCTACATGTTTGGGTTCCACCTGGTGATAGTTTCTGTAGTGCCGCTTTGCATTCTGGTATACACCAATGTCCGTATCCTCCTAACTGTTTGGGCCAGTGATAGACGTGTCGGGGACGCACTCCAAAACGCCACCAAACCTAGCCGAGAGGTCACCATTGTAATTATTATCCTAATCATGGTGTTCGTCGTGACAAACATACCTGTAGATGTCGTCCTGGCCATGATGGCACTGTCCGTGAAACTGCCAAGTTCTTTCCGAAAGGCGGTCGTGTATCTCGTCCCCTTCACTGTGTCCGTTAAATTGTTGGTGCCCGTCTTCAACTTTGCCATATATGGACTTCGGAAGTCGTTCCGGAAGTATTTGAGATACATCTGTTCTAAAAAGTCCGAAACCTCCGTGGATTCGTGACTTCAACAGCAGTTCCTAAGTCATAAACTACTGTATGCAGTTTGCTCTAATTCAAGGAACACTGAAAGAAATACACGTGGCTCTTTTTAACGAGACGTATTTTAAAAGCAGCGTACAATTTGAGCAGAAAACCACCACATGCGCTGGCAGTTATAGCTTATATAAATAGCAATATAGTTATAGCAGAATAGTGATATAGGCCTACGCAGGTAATAAGTAATGAAAATAAGGTGTGCACATAAGCCATTTTCGATGGGCCAGCCAGTAATGCTGCGTGGGAAAAAGCGTAAAATCCACCGTTGTTGTATTTGTAATACTGGTAATACCTCGTTATCTTAACCTAGTATATGTAATGCATAGATCATTACTAAGATAGGTTAAAAGAAGAACCCACAACCTTCAGGACGGTTGGCACCTTTGTGCATGTAACAGCTTATCGTGAACATAAAGCAACACCAAAAAGGAACTTTCTGTGAGATGTTTCCACGCAGTTCAAAATAAGTGCCATTACACCGCCCTGTATATAATGCTATATAAGCACACCACGTTTAAAATGATCATTGGCCTTTTGCACGACGTTTGGAAACTGACACGCAATAAACATTATACCTTATTCAACAAAATAGAAAAAAATAATTGGAAATTCCAAAAGTTTTCCATTAATCCCAAACTTATTTTTATATTTTGTGAACGGAATGAGGAAACATGAATATTTACAAGTTGAAAACGGGTTCATAAATTATGAAGTTGTCACGTTGGTGATCGATTTAAGGCATATCTGCTGAAATTTCCACCGAAGGTGACCTTGGGCTTTATAACTGCCTTACATGTATTACTTGTCTTTGAAATTTTGAAACTTAATTGCCTACATACCACCTCGGATGCGGAGCGCAATAATATAATGAGGACACATGATTGGCATCTCTAGCGGGTGTTAATTAACTGTCTATAAACAAAACTAATTGACTAATTTCCATTGGATTTATCATTTTGTTTATCATGCACATGGTAGGTTCCTTTGCTAGAAACTAACATACTCCTCACCAATCAAAAGCAGATGTTTTTAGATTAAATCGTTTTAAAATTACTATTGTGTGTCTGTGACGATTTTACTACAATGGCAAAGAACGGCTGACTTTATTTTCGAAATAGTTCCGTGTGTATTAAAGGCAGAGGGAAGCTTGTATACTTGTAGGGAAAAGAAATGTGCTCGTAGATTGCATTAAACAGGAAGAACTTTGAAAAAGTAGGTAATACTTGTCATTAGAAGACACTTTAACAAATGATAATGGTTTTATTGCGTTGAGCTGTGTAATAATGATGAAGGAAATGTGTTTGAAACTGAAAATACATTGCTTGGACCATATGTCATTTGGACGTTATTCTGTATGTTTCCTTGTTGAAGACTGATAAAATTTCATATATACACATATTGCATTTATGTTATCAATAGGGGCGGCAGTAGTGAACTGATATATAACAATCTACGTATTTGCTTGGCAACAGAGAGAAAACAAAAAGAAAACTAAAGTGAATTGTCTTAAACTTGAAATTTTTAGGTATATTTTACCAGCCACAAAATACTCCATAAGACAAATGAATGTCTTTTTTATAACATCATTCTTTACTAGGGGGACCTTTCAATAAAAGTGGCCAATACAGGCCAAATTTCGAACACTATGTTTGTGTTTGTCCTTTACTTATGCTTTCACTTGGGTTAATGAGGAGACATAGAATACATTGCGGGACGGTCTGATTTTCTCAGTAAATTTCAGGGGTCGGTTTCCAATAAGATAAGAAGAAAATAAAGTGGCATTTATAATTCCACAAATATAAGTTGCGAGTAAAATAAAATAAACATTAAAAAGCAACTTAATTATTATTTTTATTTATTTAGTTTAAGGTTAATTCACAGCACGTTTCAGAAGTTGTACGAAAGATGTGAATACGACGTTTCTATTGCAAGTGCATCTTTTGCGTGCTTTTACATGTATCTTATGCGTAGATTTCCCTTACCAAATAAACATTTTAGATTTGAAATTAAAATAACGTAACAATGAAAATCAAATTAAATTGTGCCTATCATTTGCATGTAATAAATAGGATTTTTACCACGACAGAAAAGTAATGTATGCAAAATTGTTTAGGTTAGGAACTGAAAGAAGGAGAAAAAGAAAATAATGAGAGAGCGCTTCTGCTTTTAGACGTCGCTTTGACAAATGATAATTATTTTATTTTATTGCATTTCACCGTGTATAAATGATTAAGAAAAGTTTGAAACAGAAAATACCTTGCCGGGACCATATTTCATGACAATGTTATTCTGTGTTTCCTTGCTGAAGATTGATAGGGATTTGCTTGCACAGAAACGCATAAATAGCGGCTTGGGTTGCAAATCTCATCATAGAGAACTGATCCAGTCTCCTGCTAGGACAAATTCCATTGGAACAATGAAGCCTTGCGTTCTTCTTGTGCTGTTAGTGCTCTTTGCCGCTGTTATCATAGAAGGTAAGAGACACATAGTATTTATAATGACTTGAAGCTTAAGTACTGACGCAAAGAAAAGAGATACGCCAAAACTGAGTCCGTAATCTAGGCAGACGGTATCTCCGCTTAGGAGAGATTTAATTAGAAATGTTACATTGGTATGTCGTCACTTGACAAAAAGAGGTTGTGATCAAAATCACACCCAATAAGATATACTAAAAATGTAAAATACTTAAGTAATTCAAAAATTGTAGATAGGCAGTTGTGAGTGCTAATACTAACTAATTTTGCTTCCCGTTGAAACACAAAGTGAACCAAATAATTGTGCCTAAATTTGCATTTCCATGAATTATCTTGACACTGTCAAGTTAGAAATTATTTTAAAATATATGTGAAACCATTTTAGTCTCTTCTATGAGGGGTGTCGCTTCTTTAAAGATCAATCTCAAAAACATACTAACCCCCCCCCAAAAAAAAAAAAAAAAAATTGTGACTACAAACAAGTACCAGTTAGAAATTGAATTTTATCTAGACTAGGAATTGGAGTTCGGAAAGGGCACAGCTGGTGCCACCCATTACTAGCACCACTCCTAAGCAAAATGAGAAAGAACACATTTTAAGTCCTCCGTGTTATTTTCTCTAATTAACATGTGAATTGAGAAATTACGCGCAAAATAATACTTTCAGTAACATGTTTATATTTTCCATTCTTTATTTTGATATAGACACAGCCGGGCAAAGTGTAGCACGTGCTTCGTGCAGCTGCTGTGGTAACGCGTGTAGCAGTGACCATGGGGCTTGCAGTTGCAATGGCTGCAGCTGTTCTGCAGCTGATCACCCAAGAAAAAAGGTGTTGTGACCAGATTGTTCATAGCAGTATTTTCACAAATACATATTTAAACCAGCTACTTGTTACACAAAAAATGTTGATTATTAGTAAATTCTGTAAGTCAATTTGGTGATATTGCTGTGAGAAATTATGAGAGTGAATTAATGGCTTATAAAAACACCACCACAGAAAACTTTTTAATAGCAAATACAGTTTGCCCAAAGTTATGAGTTTAGAGACCGAAGCAAAAACGAAATGAACGGCCTTTTAAATCCTTTGAGAGAGAGAGAGAGAGAGAGAGAGGAGTGAGGGGGGGGGGGAAGGGACGGGTTGGTGGAAGGAGAAATAGGTTGAACATACTCCGATAGTCAAATGTGGTGTTTATTTCCATTCACTTTTGTGATTTTATTTATGGCAAGCTATAAAATGTGCACACAAATTATTTTAATAATCTAAAAAAAAAAAAAATGACAACCGTGTTGCAAATGATCAGTTTGAGACCATTCCCAAAGATTATCGTACTAACTTTGGATTGATCTATTTCCAAGGAGGTTCTCAATAAATTGCTATCAACTTAAGCGGCTTAGATGTTTCGCATGCCCACTGAAGCTGTTAGAGGAGAATTAAATATCGTTTAGCGGCTTTAGTAGGCGTGTCAGAGCCGTTTAAGCTAAAAGCAATTTAGTGAGAAAACCCTTGGAGATGGGTCGATCCAGTGAGATTGATCTAGGCATGGGAACCCTGCCTTAAATACCATGGATCATTATTTAACAGTACTATGTTTATGTTTTTTCCCTGTCTTCAGAGGGCCCCCTTCTCCAGCGTAAGCATGACCAGTTGAACATACGGAAGAAAACAGGAAACTCGTCACACAGCTAATTGTGCAGCTCCTGCATTTGGACATTTTTGTGAATTTTGATTTCAACAATAAGTGGTCACAATAAAGATTGTAGTAAATACGCCGTATTTACTGCATTATCAAACTCTAATTTTACTACCTTTGTCGTTGTTGGGAATCGTTTGAATGCTAGATACGTATATTAAACCAATAGGCAATGCAAATCAGAGGCTCTATAATTTATATCATAAACATGGATGGAAAAATAGTCTGATTTAGTTTGCTTTATTAGAACGGGATACATTAGCTTCAGTTATAGTATTTTTTCAATTAAATTAAGGAAAAATATTGTACACAGAAAACTCGCCAATGCATTTCGAGTTCCAAAATGTTTCCTGCACTATGATTTCTTTTGCATTATTTGTCAAATTCCTCGTGTACAAATACTGACTACAGTTATATTCCTTGCATTTTAACCACTTCTTTAATGTGATGTCCAAATACAAATTAAATACTATTCACCCCAGTGCCTCGTGATTAAAGACTAAACAGAAAAAGTGAAAATATGTCAAAATAACTTTTTTTGAGAAATTCAGCTTAATTTATTTAGAAAAATTCTACTTTGTTGCTATAACACTTCCAAAAAAGGAAAAGTTGCAAAATTTCAGGCTGTAGCCATCTGGACATTGGCCGTAGTGGCCAATCAAGGTCATCACGCACGCGCCACCGATGGCGCACTTTTTACGGCATTCATTGGTCAGCTGCGTAATGCACTATTTTCCACCGAAACCACTTCTACAGCTGCGGCAAAAATAACAAAGTATGATGAACAGTTTTTATATAGGTGCTATTAGATATCACCTGGAATTCTGACAAAAATAGAATGATACTAGTAAAAAATAAACAAAGCAGAGAGCATATATAGTAGTCTGATTCTTTTTATATACATTACTTATTTCCACCTGTGTTCTAGCTTCTGCATTATATTTGACAAACTGACTAACGTACCTACAGACTGGTTCATCATCGTGAAAGACGCAGGTGCTTCCATTCTTACATTGAAAGTAACGGTCTCCCCCTCACCATGGATATCTCTTCTTAAACTTCTCATCTTATTCAACATGAAACATGAAACCGTAAATTAAAAGAGCAGAACTTTAATAAATAAATGAATAAAAATAAATAAATAAATACGGCTATTGCATATTATGTTAAAAAATAATAAGTTGTTGAAAATGAAATGTCAAGACATGAAGAAAAATACTAGTAAAAAAGATAAGTTCTTGCAGTCAAACACTGACACAGAGTTTGCAGATACTTCTCATGTTTTTTTTCACAATCTTTCACTTGGCAAGACAGGTAGCATTTGAATCTGCCACCATAAAGTCCTGCTCCAGGCTCATGTTTTCGCATTAGGCTGAAGAAGTGGCCTATGTTTACTGAAATCTACATGTTCGGACTACACCTGGTGATAGTTTCTGTGGTGCCGCTTTGCATTCTGGTATACACCAATGTCCGGATTCCCGTAACTGTTTGGGCCAGTGATAGACGTGTCGGGGACGCACTCCAAAACGCCACCAAACCTAGCCGAGAAGTCACCATTGTAATTATTATCCTAATCATGGTGTTCGTTGTGACAAACATACCGGTAGATGTCGTCCTGGCCATGATGGCACTGTCTGCAAAACTGCCAAGTTCTTTCCGAAAGGCGGTCGTGTATCTTGTCCCCTTCACTGTGTCCGTTAATTTGTTGGTGCCCGTCTTCAACTTTGCCATATATGGACTCCGGAAGTCGTTCCGGAAGTATTTGAGATACATCTGTTCTAAAATGTCCGAAACCTCCGTGGATTCGTGACTTCAACAGCAGTTCTTAAGTCATAAACTAATGTATGCAGTTTGCTCTAATTCAAGGAACACTGAAAGAAATACACGTGGCTCCTTTTAACGAGGCGTATTTTAAAAGCAGCGTTCAATTTGAGCAGAAAGCCACCACATGCGCTGGCAGTTATAGCTTATATAAATAGCAATATAGTTATAGCAGAATAGTGATGTAGGTTACACAGGTACTTCGTAGGAAAATAAGGTGTGCACATAAGCCATTTCCGATGGCCAGCCAGTAACAGTGCGTAGAAAAAAGCATGAAATTCCCCGTTGTTGTATATGTAATACTGGTAATACCTCGATATCTTAGCCTAGTATGTGTAATGCATAGATCATGGCTACGATAGGTTAAAAGAAGAACCACCGTAGGCCATATTGCCCACAACCCTCAGAATCGTTGGCACCTATGTGCATGTAACAGCTATAACGTGAACATAAAGCAACATCTAAAAGGATCTTTCTGGAGATTTTTCCACGTATTTCAAAATAAGTGTCTTTACAGCACCCTGTATGTAATGCTACATAAGCACACCATGTTTAAAATGATCATTGGCCTTTTGCACGACGCTTGGAAACTGATTTAAGACACGCAATAAACGTTATACCTTGTTGAACATAATAGTAAAAAATTAATTGGAAATTCCAAAAGATTTCCATTAATCCTTAACTTATTTTTTTTTATATTTTGTGAACGGAATGAGGAAACATGAATATTTACAAGTTGAAAGCGGGTTCATAAATTATGAAGTTGTCACGTTGGTGATCGATTTAAGGCATATCTGCTGAAATTTCCACCGAAGGTGACCTTGGGCTTTATAATTGCCTAACATGTATTACTTGTCTTTGAAATTTTGAAACTAAATTGCCTACATACCATCTCGGATGCGGAGCACAATAATATAATGAGGACACATGATTGGCATCTCTAGCGGGTGTTAATTAACTGTTTATAAACCAAACTAATTGACTAATTTCCATTGGATTTATCATTTTGTTTATCATGCACACGGTAGGTTCCTTTGCTAGAAAGTAACATACTCCTCACCAATCAAAAGCAGATGTTTTTAGATTAAATCGTTTTAAAATTACTATTGTGTGTCTGTGACGATTTTACTACAGTGGCAAAGAACGGCTGACTTTATTTTCGAAATAGTTCCGTGTGTATTAAAGACAGAGGGAAGCTTGTATACTTGTAGGGAAAAGAAATGTGCTCGTAGAATGCATTAAACAGGAAGAACTTTGAACAAGCAGGTAATACTTGTCATTAGGATCGCTTTAACAAATGATAATGGTTTTATTGCGTTGAGCTGTGTACTAATGACAAAGTAAATACATTGCTGGGACCATATGTATGTTTCCTTGCTGAAGAATGATAAAAAATTTAATATACACATATTGCATGTATGCAATCATAAGGAGGGGGGGTAGTGAACAGAAACATATCAAAATTAACTAACTACGTATTTGCTTGGTAACAGATAATACAAAAGGAGAACTTGAGTGAATTATCTTACACTGATTCTTATGCATAGCAGTTCGACATTAGAGAGTAAGATTTCCCTTACCAAAGAAACATTTTAGAATTTAAATTAAAATAATGTAACAATGAAAATTAAATTAAATCGTGCCTATCATTTGTATGTTGTAAACAGAATTTTTACCACGACACAAAAGGGTAATGTATGCAAAATTTTTTAGGTTAGGAACTGAAAGAAGGAGAAAAAGAAAAACAAAAAAGAGAGAGAGCGCGCCCTGCTTTTAGACGTCGCTTTGAGAAATGATAATGATTCTCATGCGTAACACCGTGTATAAGTGATTAAGGAAAGTTTGAAACAGAAAATACCTTGCTGGGGCCATATTTCATGATAATGTTATTCTGTGTTTCCTTGCTGAAGACTGATAGCGATTTGTTTGCACAGAAACGTATATATACCGGCTTGGGTTGCAAATCTCATCGTAGGGAACAGATCCAGTCTTATGCTACGACAACTTTCATTGGAACAATGAAGTCTTGCGTTCTTCTTGTGCTTTTGGTGCTCTTTGCCACTCTTGTCATAGAAGGTGAGAGACACAACGTATTTATATTGATTTAAAGCGTAAAGACGGACGCAAATAAAAGTGATACATCAGATCTGAGACCGTAATCTAGGCAGACATTATCTCCGCTAGGGGGGAATTTAATTAGAAGTGTTACATTAGTATGTCGTAACTTTACCAAAAGAGGTCGTGATCAATATCTCACCCAATAAGATAGACTAAAAATGAAAAATAGTTAATGTATAAATAACAATATTCTACTTAATAAAGTTACAGTGTTCAGTAATTCAAAATTTGCAAATAGGCAGTTGTGAGTGCTTACTAACAGTGGTATTTTGTTTCCTATTAAAGGGTGCCTTCCCAGATATTTAAATCGATCCAGAGATTTAGATTTAGATCGACCTTACTCCCTGGGGGTTCACGCTAAATTGCAGTCAGCCGAGCGCACACCATAGTTAATTACCCCCTTACAGCTTTTAGTAGGCGGGACAGACGCCTAAGCCGGCTAATCTGACAGTAATCTAGTGAGACTCTCCACAGGGATAGATCGATTTAAAATCTATGGGAATGGGGTCAAAGACACTCAGTGAAACTAATAGTTGTGTATTAATTTGCATCTAATATATACACAAAACCATTTTAGTCTCTTCTGAAAGGTGTCTTTTCTTTGTAGGTCATTCATATAAATAAGCGAAAACAATAATATAGCTTATTTGTCACAACTGAGGAACATCAGAAAGAAATTGAATGAAATCGAGGCCAGGAAATTCTTCTTCGAGTTCAGAAAGGTCATATACGGTGCCACGCATTACTGGCACCACTCCTAAGCAAAACTGGAAGGAGCTCAACTTTTAAGTTCCACTCATGGAAGAAAAGATGAAACTAATCACACATTTAAATGTAAAGCTGGTGTATTTGGACATTTTTGTGAATTTTGAGTTCAACAATAAGTGGTCATAATAAAGATTGCAGTAAATATGCTTTATTTACTGCATCGTTAAAGCTCTAATTTTGTTACCTTTGTCGTTGTTGGAAATCGTATATCAAACCAATGGGCCGTGTAGAACTATAAATTTATTCATAAACATAAATGAAAAAGTAAACTTATCAAGTTTGCTTCATTAGAACGGAATGCTTTAACTTCAGCTATAATAAAGGTGGGGCAATTTTGTGCACAATTAGCCATATCNGGGGGGTAGTGAACAGAAACATATCAAAATTAACTAACTACGTATTTGCTTGGTAACAGATAATACAAAAGGAGAACTTGAGTGAATTATCTTACACTGATTCTTATGCATAGCAGTTCGACATTAGAGAGTAAGATTTCCCTTACCAAAGAAACATTTTAGAATTTAAATTAAAATAATGTAACAATGAAAATTAAATTAAATCGTGCCTATCATTTGTATGTTGTAAACAGAATTTTTACCACGACACAAAAGGGTAATGTATGCAAAATTTTTTAGGTTAGGAACTGAAAGAAGGAGAAAAAGAAAAACAAAAAAGAGAGAGAGCGCGCCCTGCTTTTAGACGTCGCTTTGAGAAATGATAATGATTCTCATGCGTAACACCGTGTATAAGTGATTAAGGAAAGTTTGAAACAGAAAATACCTTGCTGGGGCCATATTTCATGATAATGTTATTCTGTGTTTCCTTGCTGAAGACTGATAGCGATTTGTTTGCACAGAAACGTATATATACCGGCTTGGGTTGCAAATCTCATCGTAGGGAACAGATCCAGTCTTCTGCTACGACAACTTTCATTGGAACAATGAAGTCTTGCGTTCTTCTTGTGCTTTTGGTGCTCTTTGCCACTCTTGTCATAGAAGGTGAGAGACACAACGTATTTATATTGATTTAAAGCGTAAAGACGGACGCAAATAAAAGTGATACATCAGATCTGAGACCGTAATCTAGGCAGACATTATCTCTGCTAGGGGGGAATTTAATTAGAAGTGTTACATTAGTATGTCGTAACTTTACCAAAAGAGGTCGTGATCAATATCTCACCCAATAAGATAGACTAAAAATGAAAAATAGTTAATGTATAAATAACAATATTCTACTTAATAAAGTTACAGTGTTCAGTAATTCAAAATTTGCAAATAGGCAGTTGTGAGTGCTTACTAACAGTGGTATTTTGTTTCCTATTAAAGGGTGCCTTCCCAGATATTTAAATCGATCCAGAGATTTAGATTTAGATCGACCTTACTCCCTGGGGGTTCACGCTAAATTGCAGTCAGCCGAGCGCACACCATAGTTAATTACCCCCTTACAGCTTTTAGTAGGCGGGACAGACGCCTAAGCCGGCTAATCTGACAGTAATCTAGTGAGACTCTCCACAGGGATAGATCGATTTAAAATCTATGGGAATGGGGTCAAAGACACTCAGTGAAACTAATAGTTGTGTATTAATTTGCATCTAATATATATACAAAACCATTTTAGTCTCTTCTGAAAGGGGTGTCTTTTCTTTGTAGGTCATTCATATAAATAAGCGAAAACAATAATATAGCTTATTTGTCACAACTGAGGAACATCAGAAAGAAATTGAATGAAATCGAGGCCAGGAAATTCTTCTTCGAGTTCAGAAAGGTCATATACGGTGCCACGCATTACTGGCACCACTCCTAAGCAAAACTGGAAGGAGCTCAACTTTTAAGTTCCACTCATGGAAGAAAAGATGAAACTAATCACACATTTAAATGTAAAGCTGGTGTATTTGGACATTTTTGTGAATTTTGAGTTCAACAATAAGTGGTCATAATAAAGATTGCAGTAAATATGCTTTATTTACTGCATCGTTAAAGCTCTAATTTTGTTACCTTTGTCGTTGTTGGAAATCGTATATCAAACCAATGGGCCGTGTAGAACTATAAATTTATTCATAAACATAAATGAAAAAGTAAACTTATCAAGTTTGCTTCATTAGAACGGAATGCTTTAACTTCAGCTATAATAAAGGTGGGGCAATTTTGTGCACAATTAGCCATATCAAATATAAATAAAATATAGCCTTCGATACACTTCCTTTAGGAATTTCTAATAGCCAATAGTTGCTAGGACCAAAAGATGTTAAGTCTATTTAATCAACATTTTTAAACAATTTATGTTACTGAAATTAAGGGGAAGCCTTGCTACACAGAAAACCTGCCAATGCATTTCGAATACCAAAATGTTATCTGCACTATTAATATGGATATTCTTTCATCTTTTGTCAAATTCCTGGCACATGTAATGCTCCTGTATATTTTAACTTCTTTTTTAATGTGATGTTCAAACACAAATTTAACACTATTCACCCAAGTGCCTCGTGATTAAAGACTAAACAGAAAAAGGGAAAGTAAGTTTGTCAAAAATACTTCGTTTTTTAGAAACTAATCTCAATTTGCAAACAAAATGTTGCTTTGTTGCAATTACACATAAAAAAAAAACTTTTTACGGCATTCATTGGTTTCAGCTGCATCATGTACTGTTTCCGACCGAAACCACTTTTGCATCTGTCGCAAAAATGGAACAGATTCTGTATAAGTGCTATAAAATATCACTTGGAATTCTGACAAAAATAGAATGACACAGAATGAAGCGGAGAGCGTAGTCTCATGGTTTCACATAGTGTACAGCTTAACCTATGGTTTCTCATGGTTTCACATAGTGTACAGCTTAAAGGTATAATAACTCTTCGTTTTGGCCAAAAAATGAATTTTCCTGGAGTAAACAACAATTTTCCCATACTTACCAATGGTTAATGAATCCATTTTTACATTCAAAGTTAGTCCCTGGTTTTTTTCTAAAAAGTTTGTTTTTTTGTTAAAATCTCTTAAGAGATTATAACAGAGTACAGCCATCAATGAAGGTCACGTGATCTGAAGACAAATTCAGATATCAGAATAATAGCTATAATTGCCGTTTTTGTGGTAAAACAGAATTTATTATATTTCTATGAGTTGTTCACAATGTTTTTATTGTGAAATATAGATATCGTACGAAGAGTTATTATCCCTTTAACCTATGGCGGCATGTAACATTGATAAAATAGCTCTTTTAAGACATAATACATTTTGAAAAAGCATAAATTGGTATCATGCTTTAATTTAACATTTCTTTAGTACATGTTACTAAATCAATCTACATGCCTACTCTTTAAAAATTAAACATCTTTCAAAGTATAATCCTCAGATGTATTTTACAAATCACAGTTTATGGAATACAACTATATATCATTTGCCACACCTGTGATTAAACCTGAAGAAAATGCAAATATTTTCAAAAATAGCTCGACAAAATATTAATGGGCATACTTTTTCATATAATCTGCACAAAACCTAGATAATTAAAATAACACATTAAAAAAATGGCAGCTCGCCTTTAATTCAACATGTTTTTAGTAAATGTTTCTAAAGCCTCGGTCACAACAGGCCGTACGGGCTTTTACGGGCTGTTTGCGTCCAAATATTACGCAGAATTCCACGTCCCACGCAGGTTCTTCTTTCGAAAATTCAAGTTCGCAGACAGCCCCTAAGTACATCTAAGACTACTTAAACCGAGTAGTAGATTCCGCAATCAGACTGGTGCTGTTGTTGTGATATGGAGTATGTTGGACATATTCTACGAATAGCCTGCGAACAGAAAGGCCGCAAGCTTACCTTGCTCCCCTCGCACGGAGTTGGCAAGTGAGACGTACGTTGTACAAGACTCACGTCGAAGCAATAAAGGAGCAAGTGCCCTTGAGTAAAGCCTAGGTCCCAAGTACGTTTTTGGACGCACGGTTTTTAGGTTCCTTGTGTCCGGCTAGGACATAGCTGGGTGACAACATTGTCAAGGTCATCTGTCTAGGCAGTCATACCTGAGGAGGGCTGTTACAATTTTTGATAATTCAACAAACAGAGTAAGATGTAAGACTCAAAAATTGGCAGTGTTGCTCATCAATGCATAGAGAAGGCTATGGATAAGTATCACTGGAAGAATTTGCAAAATTTGTGGTGCTTGTAGAATAACAGGATTTGTTCCTCAAATGACACATACATGTAGACTTGAGTAGTACTGCAAGAAGTGATTGAGTAAAGCTCAGTGTGAGAGGCAATTATAGACAATTACATTGCATAACTGTGGTACTGACTGTAATAATGTCATCAAGACCACCCTGTGAAAGCATTTCAAGGCAAGCCCGCACAGGGTGGTNACACAAAACCATTTTAGTCTCTTCTGAAAGGTGTCTTTTCTTTGTAGGTCATTCATATAAATAAGCGAAAACAATAATATAGCTTATTTGTCACAACTGAGGAACATCAGAAAGAAATTGAATGAAATCGAGGCCAGGAAATTCTTCTTCGAGTTCAGAAAGGTCATATACGGTGCCACGCATTACTGGCACCACTCCTAAGCAAAACTGGAAGGAGCTCAACTTTTAAGTTCCACTCTGTTGCTCTCCTTCATTAACATCTGAATACCTAGGGACTTTAGTAACATCGTTTATATTTTCCATTTTTTATTTTGATATAGAAACAGCCGGGCAATTAGGAGCTGCGAGAGCTCCAACGCGTGCTTCGTGCACCTGCTGTAATCGTAACTCGTGTAGCACCGACAATGGATATTGCTACTGCAGCGGCTGCACCTGTGTTGCAGTCGATTACCGAAGATAAAAGGTGTGATCACATTCTTCATGGCAATATTTTCACAACTAAATATTCTGACCAGCTACTTGTTTTACATAAATGCTGTTTATTGTGATAATCTGAGACTGCTAAAACCGAGTAGTAGATTCCGCAATCAGATTGGTGCAGTTGTTGTGATATATTATAAGAATGGCTTAACACAAAGGCTACAGACACCACAAAAAAAAAAAAAAAAAAAAAAAAAAAAAAAAAAAAAAAAAATTTCCAAAACGTTTGTCCAAAGGCATTAGTGTAATGACCAAAACAAAGAGAGAGAGAGAGGCAAATGTTCTCTTTAAGTTCTTTTAGAGAGAGAGAGAGAGAGAGAGAGAGAGGGGAAGGAATATGAGAAGGCGGAAGAGAGAGCCAGGTTGTGTGTATGTATGTCATATACGGCACTTATTTCCATTCATTAACATGTTATTATCCAATGGAAACTAAATGATGTGCATTATATATATTGATGTCGTGCTGTAAATGGACAGTTTAATGCAACAGTTATTTATTTTACAGTGTATAATAAAAATATTCTTTTTCAGAATAGCCTCCTGTTGAGAGAAACATGACCAGTTATGGAAGAAACCATGAAACTAGTCACTCAGCTAAATGTAACGCATTTACTACGTATTTGGATATTTTTTGTGAATTTTGAGTTTAACAATAAGTGGTTCTAATAAAGATTGTAGTAAATACACTGTATTTACTGCATTATGAAAGCTCTAATTTTACTACCTTTGTTTTTTGCTGGAAATCGTTTGAATGCTTAATACGTATATTAAGCAAATGGGCCATGCAGTACTAAAAACTAGAGGCTCTTTCATTTATTTCATTAACAAAAATGAAAAAGTAAACTTATCAAGTTCGCTTCATTAAAACGGAGTGCTTTAATTTCAGTTATAGTAAGGGTGGGGGAATGTTGTGCACAGGTTAGTCATATCAAGTATAAATAAATAAATAAATAAATAAATAAATAAATAAATTGCCTTTGATATACTTCCTTTATGAAATTCTAATAGCCAATAGTCACCAGGACCAAAAGATGTTAAGTATTTTTAATCAACATTTTTAAACAATTTGTGTTACTGAAATTAAGGAGAAATTTTACTACACAGAAAACTTGCCAAAGCATTTCGAATACCAAAATGCTATCTGCACTTTCAATATGGACATTCTTTCATCATTTGTCAAATTTTTGGCATATGTAATATTCCTGTGTATTTTAACTTCTTCTTTAATGTGATGTCCACACAAATTTAACACTATTCACCCCAGAAACTAATCTCAATTTATTTAGATAAAATCTACTAAAAGTTATAAAATTTTAGGCTGTAGCCATCTGGACATTCGCTGTAGTGGTCAATCAAGGTCAGCACGCACAAGCCACCGATGACGCACTTTTTAAGGCATTAATTGGTCAGCTGCATAATGCACTTTATGTCTCCTCATTCAGGGGCGGATCCAGAGCTATTTTCTGACAGTCTTCCAAATTATCTTTGTTGATCCATCCTCTAATTTTGGCCGTCTTCCAACAGAAAAAAATTAGCTGTCAATGTAAACTTGAAAATCTGACCGTCTTCTGGAAGACCCAGAAGACGGCCTAAATCCGCCCCTGCCATTAACCCAAGCGAAAAGATAAGTAAATGACAAACGCAGATATAGTGTTCGAAATTTGGCCGCGTTTATTGAAAGGTCCCCCTAGTAAAGAATGGTGTTATATATTATATATTATATAGCATTAAATAATGTTAATTAGTTAAAATTACGTAATGTTATATCTTAAAAAATAAATATCAAAACAAATAGTGCAAATATTTTCATTTGTGGGGTTGGATGATGAAAAGTTTTTATATTAGTGCTATTAGATACCACCTGGAATTCTGACAAAAACAGAGTGATACTAGTAAAAAATAAACGAAGGAGAGAGCATATATAGTAGTCTGATTCTTTATATATATACATATTTCCATCTGTGCTCTAGCTTCTGCATTATATTTGATAAACTGACTAACATACCTACAGACTGGTTCATCATCGTCGTTAAAGACACAGATGCCCCCATTGTTACATTGTAGATAGCAGCCTCCCCCTAACCATGGGTATCTCTTCTTAAACTTCTCATCTTATGTAACATGAAAGATGAAACCGTAGATTAAAAGAGCAAATTTTTTAAGAAAAAAAATACGGCTTTTGCATATTATGTCAAGAAATAGTAAGTTGTTGAAAATGAAATTTCAAGACATGAAGAAAAATACTAGCAAAAAGATAAGTTGTTGCAGTCAAACACTGACACAGAGTTTGCAGATACTTCTCATGTTTATTTTACAATGTTTCACTTGGCAAGGCTGTTAGCAACTGAGTTTGCCACCCTAAAGCCCTGCGCCAGTGGCTCGTGTTTTCACATTCGGCTGAAGAAGTGGCCCATGTTTACTGAAGTCTACATGTTCGGGCTCCACCTGTTGATAGTTTCTGTGGTGCCGGTTTGCATTCTGGTATACACCAATGTCCGGATCCTCCTAACTGTTTGGGCCAGTGATAGACGTGTCGGGGACGCACTCCAAAACGCCACAAAACCTAGCCGAGAAGTCACCATTGTAATTATTATCCTAATCATGATATTCGTCGTGACAAACATACCGGTAGATGTCGTCCTGGCCATGATGGCACTGTCTGCAAAACTGCCAAGTTCTTTCCGAAAGGCGGTGGTGTATCTCGTCTCCTTCACTGTGTCCGTTAAATTGTTGGTGCCCGTCTTCAACTTTGCAATATATAGGCTTCGGAAGTCGTTCCGGAAGTATCTGAGATACATCTGTTCTAAAAAGTCCGAAACCTCCGTGGATTCGTGAATTCAACAGCAGTTCCTAAGTCATAAACTACTGTATGCAGTTTGCTCTAATTCAGAAAATCCGAAAGAAATACACGTAGCACCTTTTCAACAAGAATTATTTTAACAACAGTATTCAATCTGAGAAAAAAGCCAGCACATGTGCTGGTAATTATAGCTTATATTAATAGCAATATACTTAAAGCAGAATAGTGATATAGGCCTGCACAGGTATTTCGTAGGAATATAAGGTGTGCACATAAGCCATTTCCGATGGGCCAGCCAGAAACACTGCGTAGAAAAAAGCATGACATCCCCCGTTGCTGTATATGTCATACTGGTAATAAGTTGATGTCTTAGCCTAGTATATGTAATACATACATAATTACTACGATCAGTTAACAAAAGAGCCGCCACTTTGCCGTATTGCCCACAACCCTAAGAATCGTTGGCACCTTTGTGCATGTAACAGCTATAACGTGAACATTAAGCAACATCTAAAATAATCTTGCTGTGAGACGTTTCCATGTGTTTCAAAATAAGTGTCTTTACAGCACCCTGTATGTAATGCTATATAAGCACATCATGCTTAAAATGATCATTGGCCTTTTGCACGACGCTTGGAAACTGATTTAGGAAGCACAATAAACGTAATGCCTTATCCTACATATTAGAAAAAAATAATATGACTGAGAATTTTAAAACATTTCCATAAATCCCAGATTTGTTTTATATATTCTGTGAATGGAATGAGGAAGCATGAATATTTATAAGTTGGAAACGGGTTCATAAATTATGGAGTTGTCACGCTGGTTATCGATTTGAGGCATATCTGCTGAAATTTCCGCCGGAGGTGATCTTGGGCTTTATAATTGTCTAACATGTATTTTGATGACATTAATTTAATTAAAATTGTCTTTGAAATTTAGAAACTTTATCGCCTACATACCACCTCAGATGTGGACAATGCATTGAGGACAGTATTCCTAGCGGGCGTTAATTAACTAGTTAGCCTATAAACAACCCAATTTGACTAATTCCCAATGAATTTGCCATTTTGTTTATCATGCACGCGGTAGATTCATTTGCTAGAAAGTTACAACCTCCTCACCAATTAACAGCAGATGTTAAAGAATGAATCGTAGAAAAATTATGATTGTGTTTAAGTGACGGTTTTACAACAACGGCGACAAAAAGGGACGTTTTTTTTTGTTGATATTATTTCGTGTGCATTAAAGACAGAAGGAAGCATGTACACTTGTAGAGAAAAGAAATGCAGATATAAATGTGCTCGTAGATTGCATTAAACAGAGAAAACAGAGAGGACTTTGAACAAGCAGGCAATACTTGTCATTAGAAGACGCTTTAACAAATGTTAATGATTTTATTGCGTTGAACTGTGTAATAATGATAAAGGGAATGTTTGAAACAGAAGATACCTTTCTGGGACCATATCTCATGTCGCCGTTATTCTGTATGTTTCCTTGTTGAAGAATGATAAAAATTTAATATACACAAATTGCATGTATGCAATCATAAAGGGGGGGGGGGGTAGCGAACAGATACATAACAAACTACATATTTGCTTGGTAAAAGAGAGAATACAAAAGGAAAACTGGAGTGAATTATCTTTAATTGAAAGTTTTAGATATATTTTACCAGCCACAAAATACTCCATAAGACAAATGAATGTCTTTTGCAGCGATATTTGGTGTGTGCAGAATACAGAACCAAAGGGTAGTTTTTCATCATTTAAGGTAAATGTACAACATTTTGCAGATACTGAACGAAAGATGTTAATACGACATGTCTATTGCAAGTGAATCTTTGTCGTGCTTTATCTTAAGCGTAGTAGTACGATATTAACGTGTCAGATTCCCCTTACCAAACCAAATAAACGTTTTAGATTTTGAATTTAAATGATGTAAGAATGGGAATCAAAATAAGTTTTGGCATTCATTTATTTGTTAAAAAATTCTGATTTTTACCACGACAAAAAAGGGTAATGTTTGCAAAATTGTTAGGTTAGGAACTTAAAGAAGGAGAAAAAGAAAACAAACGAGAGTGCGCTTTAGACGTCGCTTTGACAAATGATAATTATATTATTTTATTGCATTACAACGTGTATAAATGTTTAAGGAAAAATTTGGAACAGAAAATACCTTGCTGGGACCATATTTCATGACAATGTTATTCTGTGTTTCCTTGCTGAAGATTGATAGTGATTTGCTTGCACAGAAACGTATAAATAGCGGCTTGGGTTGCAAATCTCATCACAGAGAACTGATCCAGTCTCCTGCTAGGACAACTTCCATTGGAACAATGAAGTCTTGCGCTCTTCTTGTGCTCTTGGTGCTCTTTGCCACTGTTGTCATAGAAGGTGAGAGACACAAAGTATTTATAATGACTTAAAGCGTAAAGTAGGACGCAAAGAAAAAAGATACGTCAGTACTTAGACTGTAATCTAGGCAGACATTATCTTTGCGAGGGGGAAATGTAATTTTAAATCTTACAATAGTATGTCGTAACTTGACCAAAAAGAGGTCGTGATCAATATCACACCCAATAAGATAAACTAAAAATGTAAAATAGTAAATGTATAAATAAGAACATCCTACTTAATAAAGTTACAGTGTTCAGTAATTCAAAATTAGGCAGTTGTGAGTGCTTACTAGCAGTGGTGTTTTGTATCCTTTTAAAAACACGCAGTGAAACTAATAGTTGTGTATTAATTTGCATCTAATATATATGCAAAACCATTTTAGTCTCTTCTATAAGGGGTGTCTTTTCTTTGTAGGTCACTCATAAAAATAAGCGAAAACAATAATATAGATAATTTGTCACTACTGAGAATTACTAGTAAGAAACTGAATAGAATTGAGACCAGGAATTTCTTTTCGGAGTTTATGAAAGTCATAGACCGTGCCACGCATTACTGGCACCATTCCTAAGCAATATTGGAAGGAACACAAATTTTAAGTTCCACTCTGCTACTTTCCTTCATTAACATCTGAATACCTTTCAGATGTTAATGAAGGACTTTCAGTAACATCGTTCAGTAACATCATTTATATTTTCCATTTTTTATTTTGATATAGACACAGCCGGGCAAGGGGGAGCTCCGGGAGCTGCATTGCGTGCTCAGTGCAGTTGCTGTGGTAACACGTGCAGCACCGACCGTGGGAGATGCTACTGCAGAGGCTGCACCTGTGTTGCAATCGATTACCCAAGATAAAAGGTGTGTGATCACATTCTTCATGGCAATATTTTCACAACTAAATGTTCTGACCAGCTACTTAATTTACGTAAATGTTGTTTATTGTGTTAATATGAGACTAATAAAACCGAGTAGTAGATTCCACAATCAGATTGGTGCTGTTATTGTGATATATTATAAGAATGGCTTAAAACAATGGTTATAGGCACCACAAAAAACTCTTTTTCATATCAAATACCGATTGTGCAAAGACATTAGTTTAATGACCAAAACAAAGAGAGAGAGAGAGAGAGAGAGAGAGAGAGAGGCATGGTGTGCATGTGTGTTTTCGAGTATGTGTGTGAGAGAGAATATGAGGAGGAGGAAGAAAGAGACAGGTTGTGCGTATGTATGTCATATACTCCGGTTTTCATATACGGCATTTATTTCCATTTATTTTCGTGTTATTATCCAATGGAAGCTAAATGATGTGCATTGAATATATGGGCGTCGTGCTGTAAATGGTCAGTTTAATGCAACAGTTCTTTATTTTACAGTGTATACTTACAATATTTTTATGTTTTCAGATAGCCTCCCGTCGAGAGGAAACATGACCAGTTACGGAAGAAAACACGAAACTAGTCACTCAGCTAAATGTAAAGCTGGTGTATCTGGACATTTTTGTGAATTTTGAGTTCAGCAATAAGTGGTCATAATAAAGATTGTAGTAAATACGGTGTATCTACTGCATTGTCAAAGTCCCAATTTCACCACCTTTGTCGTTGTTGGAAATCGTTTGAATGCTTAATACGTATATTAAACCAATGGGCCATGGAGCACTAAAATTAGAGGCACTTTCATTTATTTCATCAGTATAAATGAAAAAGCTAACTTATCAAGTTCGTTCCATTAAAGTGGAATGTTATAGTAATAGTAACGGTGGGCCAATTTTGTGCACAGGTTAGTCATGTCAAGTACCAATAAATAAATAGCCTTTGATACACTTTCTTTATGGAATTCTAATAGCCAATAAGGGCTAGAACCAAAGATGTTGATTATTTTTAATCAACATTTTTAAACAATTTGTGTTACTGAAATTAAGGAGAAATCTTGCTACACAGAAAACCTGCCAAAGCAGGTTTTCTGCACTATTTGTCATTTGTCAAATTCCTGGCACATGTAATATTCATGTAGATTTTAACTTCTTTTTTAATGTGATGCCCAAACACAAATTTAACACAATTCACCCCATTGTGTCGTAATAAAAGACTAAACAGAAAAAGGGAAAGTTTGTCAAAAATACTTCATTTTTTTTAGAAACTAATCCCAATTTATTTAAAAAAAAATGCTACGTTGCAATAACACATCGAAAAAAAACTTTTTACGGCATTCATTGGTCAGCTGCATCATGTACTGTTTTCGACCGAAACCACTTTAACATCTGTCGCAAAAATGGAACAGATTCTATAAAAGTGCTATTAGATATCACCTGGAATTCTGACAAAAATAGAATGACACATTTAAAAAAGTAATGAAGCGGCGAGCATACATAGTCTCATGGTTTTCTTTCACATATTGTTCATCTTAACCTATGACGGCATGTAACATTGATAAAATAGCTCTTTTAAGACATAATACATTTTGGGGAATATAAGATAAGGAATAAATTGGTATCATGCTTTAATTAACATTTCTTTAGTAAATGTTACTAAATCAATCTACATGCCTTCTCTTTAAACATTAACATCTTTTAAAGTATCATCCTCAGATGTATTATACAAATTACAGGTAATGAAACACAACTATATCTCATTGCCACACCTGTAATTTATCCTTAAGAGAATGCAGATATTTTCAAAACTTCTCGACAAAATAGGAATGGCCAGACTTTTTCCTATAATCTGCACAAAACCTAGATAATTAAAATAACACACTAACAAATGGCAGCTCGCCTTTAAATTAACATGTCTTTAGTAGATGTTACTAAATCAACCTACATGCCTTTTAGTCTAGTGGGATTTCCACAAAAGATGAAAAGTAGGGGCATTTTGGGGTAAAGTTGGGAACCAGGCTAATGAGCATAATTTTGGGATGCTGAATCCGATTTATCCGGTTCCCAAGCGAAATTTTGCGTTTTTAACGGTCTAATTTGCAAAAAAAAAAAAAAAAAAAACAAAATGGCCGCCAGATTTCCTATTTTCTGCAATATCTCTGGAACTCAACAGGCGAATATGACAAATGAAGTGTCTTTACCTATATTTTCAGGGTCGAGGAACATTATTAAGATTTACGCAATTTTCCTAAATATGCAAATTAGGATCGCCATTACTGAAAAATCGTTTTACTTCTGTATCTCTGTAACTAGGCAAGCAAACATGACAAATGAAGTGTCTACACCTATGTTCTCAGGGTCAGAGAATGTAATACATCAGATGTCTTGTCTTATGGGTAGCACTGACTTTGTGAATCGTGTCCGAGTAGCACCTTTTATTGTTTCTTCCCTGTATCTGTCAAACACAAGTCAATCTGCTGATAGTTAGCACTGCTTTTTCGTTAACTAGGCAAGCAAACATGACATATGAAGTGCCCACACCCATGTTTTCAGCGTTAGGGAAAGTGATTAAGACATTTTCACTATAATCAAATCAGCAATGAGTGCTACACTGTCACACTGTAGCAATTATTCGAATCTGAATTAAATTTTGCAATTAAATACTGCGCTGCCATTGGGATGTTAACATATTGGATCACACAACTGCCCCTTTTACCTAGATTTAAAAAATATTACCTTATTAATGCAATGGAGGGATTTGCTGAATCAGGTAATTCATGTGATGCAATGTACAGACTTCACATTTGAAATGGATTTTTTCTAACATATTTTCTTTGAATTTTTCCCATATATTAGTAATGGATGAAAAAACACTTGTTATCGTGTTCGATATGGCTTAAATAAATCAACCCGTGTGAATACATCATCAAAAATTTAATTTAAATACGTATTCAAATCAGCATTTAAACAGCGCATGGATAATTTTATAGCTGATAACAACGAGGTATTAAATTCTTATGAACTGGATATTATCAAGAATATCAGTTGGTGAGGATTTTCTCTCTCACAAAAGAATCATCAATACAAATGTGAAAAATGGTAACTGATAACAACGCGTGCAGCCTCTTCTAGCTGCAACCAGAGCCCTCATTCCATGCAGAGAGGTTTCTGAAATTATGATCCAGTATTGTGTTACACGCATTAGTCAGAGCTTGCCTAAGCTTGTGCCGACTTGTAGGGCGGACGGGTAAGCTCTTGATTCTGCTAGCGATTTATGCCCACTGGTTTTCTATAGAATTCATGTCAGGGGAATTTCGTCGGCCAAGGCAACTGGTTTACCTCTTGGTTTTGAAGAAAAGCAGTTATTGCATGGGCATGGTGTGGTCGGGCATTGTCATCTTGCAGGAGGAAGTTGTCCCGGAAGTACCTTCTTACAAATTTCAAGCAAGTATTCTCTAAAATGTCCCTGTATTTTATCTGGTTGAGGTTTCCGTCAATTGCCACCAATAGTGTTTTGGCTCCAGAGTAGAAACCGGCCCATACACAGATACTGCCACGGCCACAAGTCACTGTAGTGTGACACAATTCTCGTGCAGTAACTCGTCTGGAAACCTACTGATCATGACTCTGATTCAGCCATCGCGGTGGTGGAACTCAAACCCTGCCTCATCTGTAAAAATCTACATGAACCCAGTGCTGTGCCTGGAACCGCAAATGGCGTCTAGCCCACCATGTTGCTCTGTTCATAGAGTTAACCAGCTAAAAGTAGCCTTGCATTCTCTAGAGTTCTAGAAACATGCTTTTGAATGGTAATTTGCCACTCATTTTGTACAGCAAGAGTTGTTTTGTCCGGTTGTTGCGACATAACCGAAGAAGCAAGCGGTTTTTCCCTTCTGGTAGTGACTTTAGGACATCCTGGCCGTGGTCTCTATGTTAATGCACCAATCTCGGCATGTGTCTGTAAGACGTTAGAAACTGCTCCCTTGGACACATTCAGCTGTCTGGCAATAGCAGTTTGCTTCTGTCCATTCTGGCATAATGCAACAATAGTGTGGCAAGTTGCTGCCGTTAGTTCACATACCGTAAGTTCAGCTAAGAGTCTGCAAAATATCAAACTCTTCTGACTGGACGTTGCCGAAATAAAGAGACTTATTCTGCAGAACTGCTGCCCGTTTATACGCATTCTGTAACCAGCCAAAGAGGACTGCCCAGAGAAACTGCCACATATTGCGTA